GCAGAATATACAAATACTAACCTTAATCAAAGCAATAATTTTATCTTTTTGCCACCCCTCAAAGTACAAAATAACCACAACAAAACAAAAATTTTACCCTACATGGACGATTTCATTAAAAAATGGACCTTAAAAACAACCAGTTTAAAAAGCACCTTCCCTTTCCAACTAATTAAATTATGTCTGTATATTTTTTCCCAGGAAAATAAAATTAATTGTCAGTGTAAAATCTAAAAGAGTGTCACATCTTTTTCGTGTTGTGTGAGGCTTTCGAGTGTGTTATTAGGTGGCCTTTATGCAAATTATGCGAGTACGTGATGTACTGAAACCAGGAGATTTCAGTAAGCGAATGGACGAGAAAAGAAAGATGTACTTTTGTGTGAGCTGTTGTTTGTATAAATACTTGTTTGTTAATATACTTTTTACTCCAGCTTCTTTTCTATTATTTGATAATTTGTTATAATTAACGAGATTTAATAAAAAGATAGAGGCGATTATGTGAACTGTCGTTTAATGTTTTTCAGAACTAAACTTTCTGTTAGGAATCATCCTTACCACATCAGTGCGAAATAGGTATTTTTAAGCCCTTTCGAAAGCAGTTGCTGTGCACACAGATTGATGTCAACGTACTCCTAACTTGGTATTTTTGACAATGGCATTTAGCAGGGCCTGTAAAAGGACATGTATCTGAGACAAAATATGTCACATCAGATTTACTTGACCCATTTTTATGCAAAGAACAGTAATAATGGGTCTAAACAGTTTCTACTGTCAACATCAAATCTTATTTAGATATCATGTATTCTGTTAATTATTTGAATTCTGTGACAATTTCACTTGGAAGTGTAACAAATTTACTGAACTTCGCAGAGAGACAGCCGTTCCTTCGTATATCTGCTTCAACACTTGGTATAAACTAAGTTAAACATGTCATCACACAATTAGTTTCAATGCAAAAACTTCTCGTCTGTTTGTTTCCTTCGGACTTTTTAAATGTAATAATAATAATACGAGGTCGTCGACATGTGGAGTGTGGAATCTGCTCAGCTCAGCTATCAAATATTTGTGCCGATGGTTGTGTCGGCCAATGGGTTGGTCTCCAAAAGCCTCGACAACCACCTTAATAGACTGGCGTTAGAGGATAGATCAAGGGCCTGAAATAGAAGGCAGTCTAAAGGTTTCTGTCTCTTGAGCCCTACCAACCGGTAGCTATGTTCCCGCTACCGGATGGTTCTGATTTTAAAATTTATTATTATTGTTTTAGTATATCTTTTATATGTTACAACATATTAAAATATATTTTTTACAGTTGTTTAAATAAATATGTTAGAAGGGGGAAAAATAATAATGGGGATAAAAATAAACATTTGGATTATGCACAAAATATAAAACTTCTCTCTTTTCTCTCTTCTTCGACTTCGACGAGAACTTTATTTTATAAAATCATTGTAATCATTAAATGTCTCAGAGTTTGCTTTAAAGTTCAGGTTTATACATTATGTTTGAGAATTAAAACGAGCTACGAGAGAAAAGTAAAATGAAAGAAAAACAAAAATGATAAAAAATTGTACAATTAACTAGCAATTTATAAAGTTACAGAGCACATGTATTTTTAATGCATGTTTCTTTACGACATACGGAGGCAAACGATCAGTCTTATTACCTGATGGTAAGCAAACAGTGCCGCCAATGGAGAACTGCAAAACCAAAGAAGTTACGAGTGCGTTGCCAGCCTTTTGGCGATTAGGATTTCGGATTTTTAAGCATTTAGAAGAGATGGGCGAGGGGAAGAATTTGGCCTCCAGTCAGTACCTCCCTCACATAGCGAAACACGACTCTGTCTGTAGTTGATTCACGCCGGTGGACCAATAGTAAAAAATATATACTTAGCTTTATTAAACATGTTAACCTCCATGTAGGTCACCGGAGGCTCTGCCTTCAATTGTTTTCTGTCGGTAGTCAAAGGCTTGAAAGCAACGAAAATTTTAATCTAATACTAGCTTCCGCCCGCGTCTTCGCTTGCATCGTATGTTGGTAAAAAGTAGCCCATGGCCTATTTCGGAGCTTATCCTATACCTGTGTCAAATTTCATTCAGATCCATCCAGTCGTTTTGGCGCGATTGAGTAACAAACATTCGAACATAATATTAGTAAAAAATAAGATAGAAAGATTGTTTTATTCGATTCAATATTTCTTTTCTTATCTGCATTAAGTATCTATGCAGACTGTTTCATAGATTATACTCCTATTAATTGAAACTTCGGCGTGTCTATACGGCCTAGGTTATAAAGGTAATGTAATTGAATAATCCGATTATTTCGTAACTTAGCTTAGCCTTCTATTAGATTTGAGAAGGTCTATTTAATTAATTAGGACTATTCGGCCCTGTAAAGGTGTTAAGGTAATATTAGTTAACCCTATCAAAAAAGAGGATAAATTCTGGTGAGAGATTTGGGCAGATTTTTTATTCTTTTAATGTTTTGGGATTTTTTCTTAAGGTAAAAGGTATTTTGTAAGAATTCGTTTCATTATGGGAGTACTAGTTAAGTAGAGTAACTCGTTATTTTATGTGTTATGCGGAAGCTCAACATTTTGCGTTTTTTTTTTTTTTTGAGGAGTATAATCAAGCAGCATTTGGCTTGACCTGCAACCACTATTGAATATCCAAAAAGTAAAATTTGTTATCACAGTTGCTGATCAACCATACTTTTACTGACTGAATAACAGCCCTAAACAATAATTGTTACTTACTTACTTTGGACAAAAAATCCATCCTGGATGACCAGTACGACGAAAACTATGACGTCAGCATAGACGACGTCACAACTTGTACTAAAAACGAATCCGGCAAAAGTGAGCGCATATTTCGTGCATTTCTGTGTGTCTGTGTGAGGACCAAAATTTAAAGGGCTCTTGTTTTGTTACTACAGGTGTGTGTGTCTTTTTACCTTCGTAATTTATTTGACCTTTTTCCAGACTTACGTTGCAGCCTCTATGCCGACCAAACTCATTTTTATGTAAGGGACGTCTTACAACCGTGTTTCTCTAGACATGTGCCCTGTCCTCAATGAAATCGCACTCAGAGCAATTTGGAGCAAATATTTTATTCATAATGTAAGGAAATTTATTCAGAGAAAATGTGTGAAAAGCTGTTCAATGTAGGTAGGTAGTGGGTGCTACCAATATGTATACACCTTATATTAAGCTATAACACCACTTTATTATGGACTTACTTTGCGTGATCTTCCCGTATATTGAAGAGTCAGTTTATACTGGTTTACACAGCTTGATGTAGAGCCAGCCTGCATGCTCGTCGGGAGTAAAATAAAATGATAAAGCTTTTGTATAGGATAGATCGGCATATGATGGTCTGATGGAAAGTAATCATCGAGTTAGAAAGTGTGTTGCCATTTTGCTAATTGTTTCGGGGCTTAAGGATTGGAGATTTTGGCAGATATTGATTGGCGGACGATTCGGGTCTTTGGTAACCTCACTCATACGGTGAAACACAACGCGAGTTGTTTTTGTATTCTGTGTGACTGTGCCTCTGCCTATCAGTCTGGCCAAGTATTTGTTAACTTTTTTATGTAGATAACAAAACTCTAACCCATGTTTATAAAAGAACAACGTTCTTATTTCTTACCAAGTGATATTATAAGCAATGTTTTTTTCTTATAATGGCTACCAGTTGGTGTCTCTGTCCTTATACATATATATGTATACTTGTCCTTCATGATTTCTTCTATCTTTAGATTAAAGCTCACTAAGATTACTTATCTTTCGAATGCTTCAGGTGTCCATGGAAGTCTCTGATCCCTTACCATTAGCCAATCCACTACCTACACATTTCCATGAAAAAAAGGTTAAAAAAATGTACACAAATAAAACATTTTTATCGCCTTTAGCCTTTAGCTACCCACAGAACCTGTAAAGGACATTGGATCTTCTTATAATCTTGTTCCAAAGACCTCATGGTGTAACGTTCGTTACATTACATCCCTGGAGATTACCATCTCTCTTGTGGCTTGCTGTACACGGCAGCACCTATCCACTCTTCCCTAAGGTCACTGGATGCAACTAAAACGCTAACTCCAAGCGCCCGTGATTTCAAAGCGTGATTCTGCAGGTGATACAAGTAATTTCGGCGTGTTAGGCACTGACGACTTTTACAGACAGGATCGGCCCTTTCGCTATCTCACTTAGCACCCTCCTTATTGGGCATGATGCTCTCACAGAAGGGGGCAACTTCCCTCCACTCCACCTCCACTATTTTGATACATACAGCACCCTTTGTGGCCAAATCCGACCTTCACTTGGCTGCTTTTAATATCAGCACTATCCCATTACTGCACGACAAAAAAAGAATTCACTAAAGTATTAAGTATTCAGTCGATGTAACCTAAACTTCTTTATAACCGTTCCTGGCTTTAAATAAAAATGCATACAATTAAAAACGAATTTTAATAATATTCTATTAAGTTTGAAAATAAAACTACTGTCGTTTTAAAAGCAATTTTTCAGTGAATGAAACCTTTTAAGCACGTTTCCTCCTTGCATGCAAATTAATGAAGAGATTTTAATGAGCAACTTTGTAATAATTATTGAATATTATTTTAAACCCATTATGGTACTGTGTTTTCTTTTGAAATATTAATTTTGTAATTGGTACCTACCAAAAATGAAGGTGCGAATGAAAAATATTTGTTAATTTTAGCTACCTATGTATTAAGTAAATCATAAACACCTTACTAATTTACTTATAGATTAAAAGTGGGTAGAGATTAAATAAAATTAAAAAAAACATGATAAAAAATATTGCGTAATTTTTTTTAGTACCTAATATTTTTTTAATTATATTAACCATATTATATAGAAACATACACATTTTTTTCTTTATGGTCAATGTAATTCATAAAAATGCATTCCCATTCTTACACGTCGTCGTCATGAATAAAAAATACCTAATGACAAATTCTTTTTTTAATTATCCCAGGAAATACGTCAAGCCATCGGCTGAATGCCACTTACGCGTGCGTGGCTCCGCCCACAACCCGCCCAACGGTTGCCTATAAATGTTGGCGCCAGAGACTTCACATTTCACTCCTAACTTGGTGCACTTTCGCGCTCTCCGATCTTTCGAAGTTCGAAAAGTTTCGTCGACGTCTCTCCGCTGAGAAGCTAGAAGGTAAGTCTTAAAAATCGGTGGAAAAATATTTTCGGGATTTAAAATTTGAAATTGGAACACATATTTTTTTTTGTTAGGAATGTTAAAAAATACGCGAATTACAGGGTGCTTATTTATAAAATTCAAGGCACAATATTAAACAATACAAATATAATTTTTTAACATTAACGTATTTTATTAAGAATAAAATTGGACAGTAAAGTATTGGACAATTTGGATGTGATTCGTACCACGTAAAATATTACTTCATAGTTACCTAACTTTTAAAGGTTCAACTTATGCAGCAAAATGATGAAATTGTCGATTCGTTACAAAAAAACCTGCCAAAGAGTTAAGTTAATTAAAATTAATTAGCCTTGTCTTATTTCGAATATCTACTTGTTGAATGCACGAAAACATATACATAGGTATTATATGCGATAGCTCTGATATTGTAAAAATATTGAAAATATAGAGCATTGAAGGGTCTCCGCGAATCTAAATAATATCAAATTATGGTTTAAAGATAAATAAACTTTCCATCAACCCGATAAAAAAATAAGAAAATTTTAAACCCGCACTATGACTTTTTTTAGTTCAGTTATACCATTATAGGCACGGTAGATCACAAACAAAGATTTTTCGATAAAAAACTTAACAACCTGTCGGTCAGACTTGTTAGTAGACATATTTGCGCAAAGTCAGAGAGTAATTTAGGTATGAAGCTTTTTTGTAGAACATTTTCTAAATTGCAGGAAAATAAAAGAATCGAATTAAGCTCAACGGCGACGGCGAGAAAAATAAATTAGTGCACTTTAGTTTTTAAAAGGAAATTAAATATATTTACTAAATTTTTTTGCACACGTAAAAAGGGTTAAACTATTTTTAAAGGAGACTTTTAACTGAACTGTACATAAGTATCTAGAAGTAAAACATTTTATAGGAGTATTAGAGTTATGATATTATGAGGTTGACAATCTATTTCTATTTCCGATATGCAGTGAATGAAAAAATGTGAGGTATATTTTTTGGTTTGGAAAAAAACATCAAATAAATTTTCCTACTCTGAGTGGGACGACAAGTAGTGAGACGAGAGGTAGTATCGAGCTGTTCCTGACAAAAAACCCGACCCGTTTTTTCTCTTACTCCATGCCAACCAAAGTACACATAATTTCGCTTATACGCGCAACATTGGCTGGGCCTAAAAAACGCTGATGCATCTTGAGAAAGTCAAACTTCATCCGTGTATATTTTCCCTGTACTTGCCAGAGTAAGTGCGGTGATTAATGCTCCAACCTTAGTCGTATGATATCTTTAAATACTCAACAGTAGACACTCATTTTATGGCTCTGTGATTATATGATTTGTTCTTATTTTAAATCCACATATTATTCTTCAAATATTCTACGAAATAAGACTTAAACCGATTCTTTCCTGTACATCACTATCAATGTTTTGCGCTATCAAGCAAACTGTAGGAGAATAATCTCTCGAGCATTAATCTTAAGGCTTAAATAACATGCCTATGGTACGTTTATTTGCATCATGTGCAGGATCTCTTCAGGATATCATTATCATCGTTAAAGTCTTGTACAGCATTTTTTTTTAATTTGGAACGTGCCTTAAACTTCCATGTTTTTTTTTCGATAGTGTAAGTTATGAAAGAATAAGCGTACTAATTTTTATGTAGACATATGAATTTACTTAGGTTACAAAATTAAAAAGAGTATTTCATTATTTAACAATTGAATAAGTTATTTATTATTATTTATTTCTTGACATTTTAAATTTTACGACGTAAAAAAACGATCCACAAAACTATACACATAGTTTGTCTGTCGTATCAAAATTATTACTAAGTTCACTATAACATTGAAATAATAGTGTTCTTTGCTACTTAAATATTAAAAAGGAGAATTATAAATGTAACAGTATAAATAGTTAAATAGTTATGCATAGTATAAATACATACGTATATAATATAGTACCTACATAAAAAAATTAAGACGCTGAATTTTCCTGTGTCGTGGGTTTAGGTATATAGGGTAGGGTTTATATATTGTTTTTTAGAACGTTGCCCCACACGTGTTTGTTACCCTATATTAACACATCCATACGCGTCGGGGGCACTGAATGTGTTAAACCTACCATACACGCCACAGGCAGACTCGGAACAACAATTCGCGGATTATGTTCAAACTGCAAACACGGCAGGAGGTTGCCCAGCCTTTGTCAACCGTGCAAATAGTACACACAAAAGTCAAAAGTAATTAATATAAAAAAATACTGTGGTACAATTTAGGCGTAACAGATAATATCTGATAATTTAATACTTAAATTACAAAATAGTTTTGTCTAAAAAGTCACAAAAATTGGTTTTGGTCTCCTATTTCTAGAACTGTCTCGGTCAAGGGTGGAAAAATAATAGCCTTTAAAAGTAATAAAACTGTATAATGCATAAAGTATAATAATACATTCAGCTACAAGAACAAGATGAGCTTCTTATAACTAGAGCGAGCCTTTATGAACTTTCTAATCGACGATATTAAGTACCAAACTATCTTATAAAATGGAAAGATGAAGTACGAGTAGGTACATACTAAGTTCACTGTAAGGTTACATAATTGGTCTAATAATTGCAAAAATATTTGAATTGCCACAAAATGACAAACATTTTGGAGTTGAGTGAAGTCACAGTTTTGTGGATTTAATTTTTTTAGCATTTGCAATACATTCAGTTCAATGTTACTGGCATTTTTGTCAGGGGCAAATCATAAACTGACTTCTCCCGCCCAGGGTGAGGCGAAAGGGAGTGTCAGACTCTTACTGACTAAAAATCCCTGCCTTAAGCCGAGGCCACGGTGCCATGGAGTTTGGTAATTATTTCGGATGTAAGCAAAGACAATAGATTCACTTTTTATGCTATGGATCTCTTAAATTGTAATACTACTTCGCTACGGGGAATGAAACAAGTGACCAATATTAAATATAATATTTTGTAATGTTAATTGTTTCTTCTAAGAAGCAAGGCCACTTAAAAATATTGGACGTTCCAATTTCCACCTGAACATTAATCAATCGGTTTGGTGTTTTTTAATTGGAAATTGTTTCAATAATTCGTTTTTGGAATATTTTTTTTTGTGGTGAATGAGATTTCTGAGAGTAATTGCTAATTGCAAGTTAGACAGGCAATACTTTACCTGTTTAGGAAAACTAAATTCTATACGCCTAACTCTTTTTTTTTAGCGTGGGCAATTATAAGGCGACATAGTGTAAGGAAATATTTAAAAATAATTGTATATGTAATATACTTACAGTAATAGTAACCCTTGCAACGCCTTGACCGACGAGGCATCATAATAAAACGAACTAACTCATAAAAGATTTTTTTTTTTTTTTTGTGAGGGGAAAATCATCAAATGACTTCTCCCGCCCAGGGCCGGGCAGGAGGGAGTGTCAGACTCTTACTGACTAAAAACCCCCCTGTTCCTTCTCCTGCTCTGTGCCGAGGTCGCGGTACCTCATTGCGCTTACCCCGCAACCCCGGCTGAACATCAGCCCTTTAGGGCCCCGTCTGTGGTGGTCTATTGGCTCTTTGAGGCGCGCGCGGAACGCTACGCGCCGTACGCTCGGGCCTGGTTCTGGTCGGGCGGCGAGCTGCCCTTACTCGCCGACCGCAGGCCCGTACTTACGGTGGCCGGAGATCGTCCCTCGATCCCCGACGCCCGTAGTGTCGCCAGTTGCGGCTGCTGGGGCGTGAGGAGGAGGATTGCTCCCTCACGCGGGCCGCCTCTCTCTTTGCGAGCATGACTGCTTCACAAAAGGAGGAGACGGCGTCCCAGTTCCTCTCACTCCGCACCATGGCCTCGACTAAGGCCGGGCGCGAGAGGTCGCCGCCGCCGATCACTTCCCTGAGGATACGGCGGTGCTCAGCCCAGGCAGGGCATACCGCTACCGTATGCTCCACCGTATCCTCTAGGTGGTCCTCAACTCATAAAAGATGGTATTTCAATATTGCACCTTGACATTGGCACATAATTTTTAACATTCCATTACCTTATTTTTTGAGTTAGGCCTCTTTTCTATTAAGCATAGGCATGGTACGTATTCTAGACACATTTTTTCTAGAAACTGAAGAGGTGTAATCAACGTTATGTGTGTTAGATCTTGACAACTGTCATTCCACTCACTACTCGTAAAAATGTCAAATACTTTCTCGCGTAGTGATGTCACTTATTGTCGCCATCTTATTCTTTGACCAACGCGAACGTAAATGTCAGTGAAACAATAAAAAAGAATTTATTTTTGCAAATAGGTCATAAAACAGTGCAAAAATGTATTGATTTGAGCCACTCATGTCATTGTAACAACTACTGAAAGCATCTTTTTAAATTTTTCAGCTTTGAAAATAAATTCCAATTTCTCTTGCTAGCTTGATTTTGATAGTTTTTTATAATTATGCTCTGTTTTGCTAAATTGAGAAGAACGTTTGAATCAAAACATATTCTATGAAAGTAAAGGGAAATGTTGAGATTTATCAACCCTAACCGAAATGGCACTGCAAACAAATTAGAAAAGCTCAAATTTAGATATTGCATAGGTAGGCACCATTTACCTTCAAAGGAAGATTAGATATGTGCCGTTTTTCAAAAATCAAACTTAACTATTGCAAGTTAAGCCAAGTTTTTCAATAAAACTCCATATTGCGACTTCAATAAAATTATTATCTCTTCCTATTTAAAGAAATGTAAGATATTAAAACCACAGTGTCCCTTTGTACAATAAGTACTGATTAATTATTCACAATAAAACAATGTTACAAACGAGAATATATTGTGTTTGTTCGAAAAGAAAATCACATTGTTGATTTTATTAACCGAGTTCAGAAGAAGTGGGGAGGTTTTTGTTTGAGTGGTTTCTACTATTTTTCTATTTTTTTCTGCCATGAACAGTAGATTCTTGTGCTAAACAGTTATTTCATATTTGTTGCATAAGCTTATTAGCTAGACAACCAACAAAGC